ACCCACGAGCCTCTTCAACTTTGGAAACAACTAAGGTGACACACCAAAGCCCCCATTAATGCAATAGATGAGCTCAGCCTCCGCCTCCCCCTTCCCTGATTTCACACTGATAGGCACTACCCAGCACAGGAAGAGCTTTGACTCCGGGGCCCTGAGCTAGGAATTAACTCTGTATTGAGGTAGAGAAGCCTTTTGTTCTTGAGAAGGCGTGGGCAGGGCTGGCATAGGAGCAGTAGGAGAGGAAATCCAAGTCAGGTGGAGCAGGAAGGCCTGACTTACTACTAGAAATGATAAGAACAGAGGCAATTTTTTTACCTGGAGAGAGGCCAAGGGGAGGTGGCTGTGTGTCTGTGGCTAGGATGGATCTGCAGATGCCACAAGGGCATGGCCGAGGCTTCAGGACATGCTCATGAACCCCATAGTAGCCTCCATACCAGGTAGGCCCTCAGCTCAGGACTTGGGGCCAAGGAAATTAGGGAGCGACTGCCTCTGGAGGCATCCAGGCCATGCCTGATCCTAGCTGTCCTGCTAGTTGTGTGGCTCTGGGCAAGCTACTAAACTTCTCTGAGTCTGTTTCCCAGTCTGCATGCTGGGGCTGCTGTGAGGGCTAACTGAGGCATGGCTCCCCAAAGTATGTTTACATAACTTGATGCTGAATAGTATTCTATCCATTCTAGGTGAATTTTTTTTTTAAGACTTTAATGTGTGTTAAAATTATAAGAACATGAAAGGTGTGATTTCACAGATATTGTTTAGAATGAAGCTAAAGACAGCATTTAAGTGTCACTTTTAAAGGGAAAATCTCAAGTAAATAACAGAGCAGGTGCTGCACTGATATGGCCAATTATGAAGGTCATATTTGACAATGCAGCTTGGGAATCTGGAGCTAGATGAGTCTGTGAAGCACTGGCATGGCAGACCCCAAGAAAGAGTGAGGTGTGGGCCCAGTTACACACACACACACACACACACACACACACACACACACAGCCTCTCTGCCTCCAAAAGTGCTTTCTGCAAGGATTTTTTCTGTATTCATGATCTCATTTGATTTTCAAAATAAAACTGGGGGGTTGGTCGTAGATATCATCTCACAGGGGAGACTAAGGTTCATAAAGGCCTCTGACTTGCCAGAGACTGCAGTGAGGGTACAAACAGCCTTTCCAGCACTTGCCTCAACACCTCTCTTGCAATTTCTTCCACCCTCCCTCCTTTCCTGACTTTTCACACCTCACATTCATGCACACTCACCCCACCCCCCTCTCCTGAACTGGAAAACACCAAGCAGACTCCAGCCCCATCACCCTCACTGTGTGGATGTCCCTCCACTCAAGGAGCCCAAAGACCAAACTCACACGTGCAGTAGTGGAGATAGTGGCCCCAGGCAAGGGCTGCACTGCCGCAGAGGCTGGCCAGCGCCATCATAAAGCCCTGGAAGCCATGGGCTTGGCAGCCTTCGGAGCCGTAGGGCCAGCGCCTGTGGGAGACACTGGGTTCCAGTGACCTCTGCCTTTTGACCCTGCCTTTCTCCCACGCCAATGCACCAGCTTCCTGGAGGGCACCTTCCTGAGTGTTGGCCCAGCTCCTAAGAGGAACTTTACTCTGCTTTTCCTAAGAGGAAACATATCAGTGCCTTAGAGCTAAAGTCAGGGGCTGACAGAGTGGAGCCCCAGGCAAATTCTGCAGGCTCTACTCTTTCACCACGCGCTTCGCTTCGTGGCTAGAACAAAGGCTCTCTCTGTGGGGAAATGGAGCTGATTTGAAGGAGAGCTCCTGCTTTTATTCTACACGGTTGGGGGGTGGGGGGTGGGTCACACAGCTGTTGAACACAAAGTCAGAAGGTGGAGCCCAAGTCTTGCATCTCTCAAGCCCCAAGGGCTACTCAGAGGTAGCTGCTTCTGTTGCCCCTCCTCCCCCAAGCTGGGTAGGGGAGTAGGAGATCAGGGCAAGGGATCGGATCCTCACTGATTCAGACCCCACAAAGTAGTGGGCTCTGAGCATACACAGCCAGGTCTCTGTGGTACCCCAAACCAGATGACGGATATTTAGTTCACATAGGAAACCAATCCTGTAAACACCTTCTGATGCCACTCTGGAAGGCCCTGGTTTGCAAAGAAGGTCTTAGATTCTTGCCAAAATCCTGTTTGCTCTCACAAACACTTATTTAGGGCTTCCTAGGTGCCAAACATTGTTTCAAGTTGTTACAAGTAATAACAAGTCCATACATCCAACTGCCTTGTGAATTAGGTAATGATATCCAGTTTATGGGAGAACTCAAATGATAGAAAGAATAGAGCCAGGATTCAAACCATGGGGCTGGTTACAGGGTCCATGCTCTTAATCCCGACCATTAGCCAGCTCTGTTGCTTGGGTCTGAATAACTTCTGTTTCCAGAAAGCAGCTGAGGTTCCTCAGGGATAGTCTAGAATTCAGATTTAGGCTAAATTTGCCTGCCTACTGCTCTATCCTTGCTTCCTATAAGTGGGAAGGATGTCTCCCTGGCTTGGCTGCCTGGTTCCCAGAGGTTAGGCCCCAGGCAGGGCTGCAGAGCCCAGGGACTGGGGAGGTGGCTGGTACCTGAGAAGGCTGGATGTGGCTGCAACAAGGGCATTCAAGCTGATTCCACTGTCGGCTAGCGCCAAGCTCAGCACCAGCAGGTGACTGGGTGTCCGCAGCTCTGGGGCCTTGCAGAAGGAGAGGATGGTCAGGCTGTTGAGGCTGAGACCAGAGAGAGCTGAAAGGAAGGGTATAAGCTGACATCAGGACTGAAGAGGCCCACCTGAAGTCAAAACCAGGAGCCGGGGGCTGGGTGGATACTCAGTAATTGCCCCCTTCATGCTCAGGAACCTTGTTAGTGTAGCTGGTTCCCCAATCCCAAGAGCCAGGAAATGCACACCTGTCCTCTACCAACTCATAATCTAATGGAAAGACAGACAAGGAAGAAAACTAATAAAACATAGCATGGTCTTTGCTATAACAATCATCATGATGGTCACTTGTTGAGTTTGTGCCAGGCAAGGTGCTAAGCACTTGATGTAGTTCAGCTCAATCTTCACTTGGATTGTCCTCAGTGGGAAGGGAAACAGAGGCTCAAAGATGCTGGACCAATTGATGCTAAGTATGCAATGGAGCTGGATTCGAACTCAAGTTGTTCGTATTCCAAAATGCTTTCTCTAAGGGCTGTGCAGCAACATCAGGGAGAGTGTTGGAGAACAGGAACCCAGTTAGGACTGGGAGCTGCCACCCAGGACACCAGGCAGAGAGATAAAGCCCAGGGAGTAGATTAAGCTCCCTCCAGGTTGAAGGAACATAAAAGACCTGAAACCTGATACTTGGTCATGTCCTCCTTTCAAAGTCCCTCCCTCCCTGAGCCTCTGCTGGCTTCTGTCTTAGGATTTCCAGCCTTCAGGCTATATCCCACAGGGGAAGCCATCAGAAGATCCCAAGGATCAGGCACAGGCGTAGGGTTTGAGGACCTCTCCTTGAAGCTTCATAGCTTTGGACTGGGATCTGGGAGCCCCTAGGTCACCCTCACCCCAGCTCTGGCTCACCTTCCACCAGCAGGACTGTCCTCACTGCCAGCACCTCCACCTCCCCAAAGCCAGTGGGCAGGGCTCCAGACTGTGCCATCCTTGGCTGTTTCCTTGTTGGCCCAGCTCTTCTCTGGCTGCCCAGAGTCAGGCTCTTCCCTTTTAAAGGGCCATCCCATGTGCTGGCACATGCAGGTGATTATGCTAAACCTTGGGGTTCTTCTTGCTGCTCCCAGCCCCCAAATCATCCTCTTGGCCAAAGAAGAAGGAGCCGATTCACCAGTTGGACAGAGCAGCCTTTGTGAAGCTGGAATGGAGCCCTGCGTCATTCATTTTTCTGCAAAGGATAGGATTAAGGATCTAGAATCCGAATGGTGTGCGGCTAAAGCTGAATTATAAAAGAGTTGCATAACCAAGGGAAGGGTGGATTGCAAAGGAGGAATTTAAACTGGCAGCTGTGGCTGAGAATCGGTTAGGAGTCAGGCCCTTTCGTACCAAACTGTGTGCTTGAACGCATATGTATATGGATGCGTGTATGTGTCCACAAGCTCACAAGTGTGTGTTCACAAGTGATGGGCAAAGGATGATGGTTGGGAAGTCATCTGCTGTCATAGAAAGAATGGGACAAGAGACAGGCTTTGATTCCAAGTCTGTCATGAACTAGCTATGCACTCTGGAGGGAGATTCTTAGGGTCTTCTCCATTTCTTCCTTTGCAACATAAGCATCTTTCCCCTGGCCTATATGCATCTTGGTGAGAAGAATCCATCACGAATATAACCTTTGGGGCTGCACTTCCTTCCTGTCTCCCACTGAACACTTAAGCTACACAAACACAAAAATCTCCTAAGGCACTGACTTGGCACATAGGTGCTACTGTCTTCTTGGAAGCGGGTGCGACCCCCTAGGAGATTGTGCTTCTACAAACAAGGTGTTGGTACAAGTTATGCACTGGCTTATGATGCAATTTGTATCAAAAGCACTACTCTTGAGCAACTTAACTCATTTTTCAGATAAAAAAAGCCAAAGGCCAGAGTCTGTGAAAATAGCAGTCTAGCTGATGTTTACCAAGTGTTGCTAAGGAACAGACACTGTGCTAATGATGCTGCTCCTACAAGTCCATGAATGAGATACCATCATCCTTCCCTCAGTTTCACAGGAAACTGAGGCTCAAAACAGTTAAGACTTGACATGAGGTCACGTAGTGATTCTTGGATGGAGCCGAAACAAAATCTGGTCTCCTGTCCTCTAGGCCCTGGAAAAGCAATGAGTTCTGTTGCATAGGTATCCATTTTCCATGCCTCTCCTCTTGTGTCCCCATTTATCCCAGCCTAACCAGCCTGCCGGCTGAGCTTCCATTCTCCTGGAAGTCTTCATGGATAACGTAGCTACCTTAGTATCTGCCCTACCCTTATCCAATTTCTGTCTTGTATTACTGATTAATATATACGTGAGTTTCTTTTTTTCCATATGTGCAAGACAGCAAAAGATGTAAAGGGAGAAGAACAAAGACAGGGCTGGAAATGGAGGCTAGAGATCAGCTAGGCAAAAGAGAGAGGCAGCATCTCCAATAGAAGGGAAAAGGCAGAGATGAGGAAATGGGCAGGGCTGGCCTTTTGGCTTGGGGAGGAGGTACAAGTAGGAAGCACAGAGGAAATTATATTAGTTGGGTTGGAAGAGAGAAAGGGACAGGAACATTTCCTGGAAGCAGCATTGTCAGAGCATGGCTGGCACAGAGCAAGGCATTTGACATGTGCATTGGGGCGCCAGGTATCTGTGTTGGTCACAGTTCACTGGTCTAGGGCTGCCTAGGTTTATGGGCACAAGGGACTGAGGAACCTTCTGGAAAAATTGAAGGAACCAGGTAAGGAAAGCATGCTGGACCAGAGAGCAAAGCTGTGGAATCAAATATGAAGAATAAATGAGTAAAAGGCTGTGTCGGGCCTCCCTGGTGGCGCAAGGGGTTAAGTACAGCACTATGAAGCAATCCACAGCCTCTGCTGCACGAGTTTAATCCCCGGCTAGCCAGGAAGCAACACACATGGCGCAGCAGTCCTCTCCTGGCTCACCTGCTGCTCCCCTCAGCAGTGTACTTTGGTCAATCTGCCTGTTCTGTTCCCTACTCTGTCTCTGGTGAATCCTCTCATCCCCCATATCTCTGATCTGTACCCCAGCTCTTGCATGCATAAATGAATAAATCTTTTAAAAAAAAAAGGCTGTTTTTATTGTGGGATGAGGTTGAGTGTAGGGGCAGTGGGTAAAAATGGAAAGTCCCTTCTCTGAAGATGGTAGGGTCCTGCTCTGGGACCTTCCTCAGAGTACAATACCCTGGGGGACAGGAACTCTGCACTCACCTTTAGCAGGGCCACCACAAGCATTTAGCAGAGTTGGTAATGCCCAGAAGGGCCTGCCCCGATGGTAGTGTTCTGAAACTGGTGTCTGTGGGCTTTCAGGAGAGACTGCTGTTTGCCTGGCAGAATGGGTGGGCTCATGAGCCTATGGGGGACACTTCTGACTTCTCCCCGAAATAACTGAATTTTTCCCAGCTCCTCTATGAGCAGGTATTTGTAAGTGCCTGGGAAATTGGGTTCTTATTACTCTCTCAAGAGCTCCCATTCCCACAGGCTGTGAAAGTCTGGCAAACTTGGATTGTCAAATTTTCATAAGCCCCCTAATAGAGTTACACTGTAGAGTCACTACCCACTGTCAGAGGAGGGCACAGAAGAGACCATGTGACCTACCCAAAGTTACAGCCTGTGAATGGAAGAGCTGGGATTTGAACCCAGGTAGTGTAGCCCCAGAGCATGGGCTCTTGTTGATGTCTTCACTGCCTTCAGCTCATTGCTTTTTCACTGGGGCTAGAGCCCCGGGAGAGGATTTCCAAGGCCTTTATTAGATGCTAGGGTTTGGTTTCCCCAGTACCTAGGGTTCTGAACCCCAGCACTCTGGTGGGGTCTGTGCAGACCACAATTAGATTGGCATCAGTGGACAGTTCAGTTGGCTGGTGCAGTAATCACTTGCCCCTGGGGGTTGCCCAGCTGCCCTGCCCTGCCATGCCCTGAGCTGTCTGGGCCTGGGCTATTGTGACAGAGGATGTAAACACCCACCTCAGGCCTGGGTGGTTCCAGAAAGCAATAAGCTGCTGAGTGCAGTGACCTGGGCTCCCCTCCCTAATCCCCAGCCTGTTAGTGTTTATCCCCTGGCTTCAGGCAGACAGAGGGGGTGAGGGGTGGAAGAACAGTGATGAGCCAGAGGGCAGCTGCCGGTTTGCTGGGCTGGCAGAGGAGTCCAGGAAGAGGCCTTGTCTGGGCCACAGAGGAGCTGGGAGCCATGAGGGTGGTAGTATGCATGCTCTGGCTCCTGGGTCTCGGGGTGCCCCCAAGGTCCAGGGCTCCTGCCCCTCTCATTGCAGCTGTAGCCTTCAGGTCCTGAGTGATGGCAGCAAGACCAGGTAAGGCAGCAGGCGTGTGGAAGGATAGCCCAGCTCCCATGGCTCCATTGGCTAGGCTGGTTTGGGAGGGATTGAAAGCAGGGTTATTACCACATCAAGTCTAAGGCTTTTGTCTGGACGGTCTCTACTTCGCTATCTTGTAACAAGCAGGTTGTGGGAGGCACCGGGTACCTCTACACATGGGGCTGGAGTGGGCATGAGTGTGCCAGTTCCAGGAAATCCTTCCTGAGCCCTCCTCCAAGATCCTAGTGGAAAGGATCCTTCCTTAAATTTCTTTCTTTTCCTCTCCTTCCTTCCTGTCATTCCAACATCCTCTCTGTATCCCCAGTCCATTCCTTCCTGGACCTCTTCTATTCACTAATTTTATCTCCCAGGAATACTCAGTCACATCCCAGGTATTCCTACCACCCCACCCATGATCGGGCCACCTACACCCACAGGCTCTCTCTCCTGACCCAGGCCCCAGGGTCCTTAGCCTCCCCTTTTTTTTTTGGGCTTACCAAAAGGCCTATCCATTGCAAGCAAGCATCCCTTCATGCTCAGCTCTTCTTCGAATTTCCCCACTTCCAGCTGAGCCCTGAGAGCACATGCAACCTCCCCTCTCCCCCTTCCATGGGACCTTGCCAAGGCCACCATGGTAGGTGGATGTTTGCTCCTCCACACAGCTCATTCTCCCCTCCTAAACTGTCTTCTCTCCAACCTCTTCAGCTTATCCAGTAATGACCGCTGTATTTCCCATCCTGCTCAAGGGTTTCACCTCTGGCTCAAGGCCTTTCCTGTTATCGTTCCAACCTCCTGTAATCCCATCCTTTCTTTCTCCCTCAAATTAGATGGGAGCAATGGAGCCACCGATGATTTCTGACCATTATCAGTGTGACCCTTTTGATGATCTTGGTAATGGGTGTCAGGTTGATTGGGTATGAGGGCAGGAAGAGAATAGAGTCACCCTGTATGATCTGAAGAACAGGAAGAGCTCTATTTTTGGCCCAAGACGCTGATATCGGCAAAGGTAAATATTCTCTCCCCCTAAAAAGTCAGGGCTGAGCCCCAAGCAGGCCTGGAAACAGCCCAGGACCAAGGACCAGGGTAACAAAAGGCCTTCCTTGCCATCCTCAGAGGGCATAGGGCTCAAGGTCATACAGCATCCATGGCAGACCTGGTCCTGGAAATCAGAGCTAGAGTTCCACTTCCAGAGTGCTTCTCACCTGTGATGCTTAGGGCAGGGGGCAAGGGATGGCTCCAGCTAGCAGTTAGCCTTAGGAGAAACACGTTCCAAGGGCAGTTTCCAGGGCGTCTAATGTCAGTGAGTGACCATTCCTTCTCTGAAGCCAACGTGCTCACATCTGTTCTACCTGCTGACTGTCCCACAACTGATGTGCATCAGTCCATCTGCATGGAGTGGCCTTTGAAGAGAATGAGGCCAGGAAATGCTGAAGTTGACCCCATTGGTCATGGCACAGACTGTGCAGTCAGATTGAGGCTCCTTCCATGTATCAGCCCCTCCCCAGCCACTTCCTTGCCCCCTTCTCTAAGCGGACCTCTCAGAGAGCCCAGCCCTTATGTCTGAGCATCCTGAGTGATCTGCTCCATGCTCCTGTGTCATGAACAGGACATGTGTACCTGTGGATATTGGGGTTACTGAGGTGGGGGGAGACTGCA